CTTATAATACGTTAGATTCTTGTACAAAAGAAAACAAAACCTGTTGCTATCTGTTGAGAAGTATTATTACTGAGAACTTTGTTGCAGGGCAATACCCTCAAATGCTCCATTGAAGACATTGAGCGTTTTCGTCTGAGAGTCAGGGACGACGACACGCGTAACTTACTAGGCGTAAGATTCAAAATATTCTTTCAAACATATTATTAATATGTTAGATTCTTTCAGTTAACATAATTTTGTACAATAGAGGCTGTCACGTCGGCTACGTCGTACGACTGCTCGTTGTGGTTGTAGGACAGTCACAACGCAAGATGTGTATGTTCCTTCCGCAGGCAGAGGAGGCTTAGGTTCCTCTAGCCAAGCACCTACAGGGGACGAGGAAGACGACGACGATGACGACGTGGACCAGAGGCACGAGGAGCTTGGCCCGTCTCAGCTCCAGAACGTTTCCTCGACTCAGCCTACACAACCTTTAGGCACTAGACGATGCCGTCCACCAGACCCTTACACTCCAGGTACCAGCGCTCTTGATCACAAGGGTAAGGGTAATGGTACGAATAGGAGACAGTGAGAGCTTATAATAGATGTTAGTATGCACTATTATGGATTTTGTAGTTATTTTTCTATAACTATTTGGGACTGTATGGATATTGTGGACTATTTAGACTATGTAGGACAATGTACGTTGATTGTGATGTTCGATGTGGTTGTATTGTGCTATTTAGACGATTAAATATTTGGATTATATAATGATGTCTCTGTTTGTAACTGTGGATGCTCCTGAAATAAGGGAAAACTCTTGCAAAAAAAATTCATGAATCATTAATTATACTACACTGCTAAAAAGACACATTGGGCATGTTCGCTTGAATTTATGACCCGGCTTATCAGCTATGATCTACAGTATTTTTCTCTCACAATAAAACAGCTTCAGCCGGCTTATCAGCCGACTTTAATACCAGCCGAACAGGCCCTGTACATAGATTAAATGTAAATTCAATAGAACGTGTATAGTCCAATCATATCGTACAGACGCTTTGTATACGAATCTAGGATTTTCAGTAACAGTGAACGAATCTAAGCTTTTTAGATAGTGAAAATAGACTTTTCAGTTACAAGGACGAGGAGTACGGTGACAGCAGCAATTTATTACTTCACTTACATAGTACACCTATAGCATCTAGGCTTTTCAGTAACAGTGAATGAATCTAGTTTTTTCAGACAATGAAAATAGACTTTTTAGTTACAAGGACGAGGAGTACAATGACAACAGCGATTTATCACTTCTCTTACATAGTATATCTATAGCATCTAGGCTTTTCAGTGATTTATCATGTCAACGCGAATAGACTTTTCAGGAAACGAATCTAGCTTGTTCTATGTCCATTGAAATAGGCTCTTCAGTGAAACTAATTAGGCTTCTTGTAACCAGTTATAACATATTGAAACGGCAACTAAACCTACCTCTGCCTATATATACATCATACTGGATGCATCGCTACTTACTTCCCAACTAGTATTTTCTTTCATTGCAGTATCAATATCTGGAGAGTCATCCAGATGGAGAGAAAAGAAGAAGAGAACTATCATTATGTGAAAGGATTCTTTTGGTCCGATTTCTTTGAGGAATTAATTGTGTTCAAGACTTTTCATGTTCCCAGCTCTACGACGCCAGATCCCCACTTAGGCCCCGTTTAGATTCCAAAAATTTTGCACAGTATCCGTCACATCGAATCTTACGGCACATGCATGAAGTACTAAATGTAGACGAAAAAAAAACTAATTGTACAGTTGGGTGAGAAATCACGAGACAAAACTTTTGAACCTAATTAGTCCATAATTAGACACTAATTAACCAATACAAACGAAAGTGCTACAGTAGCCAAAATCCAAAAAAATTTAGATCTAAACGGGGCCTTATATATGTGGGGATTAATTGTGTAAGACTTTTCATGTTCCGATCCACCTGTGACTGCTGTCCGTGTAGGGCTCTCATCACTGTGGATGAAAACGGTACGGATATTTATTCGACCGTCCGTTCGACCGAACAAATATGTACACTTATCTGGATAGTTACTCGGATATTCGTAATTTTTTTCGGATACGGATACTAAAACGGATATCTTAGGCGGATATCAAATACGGATGTAATATCAACGATATCCGGCGGATATCGGATAATCCGGATAAGTATCGGATATATCCGGATATTTAAAAACGGATATTATCCGGATATTATTCAAACGACCTTGGATGGAGAAATGATCAAAATAAAAATTGTAGATCTCAAAAAGTTATAAAACTTTGTTGTTTACAACTTTTTCGTTTGAAATCATTTAGTGCTTCAAAATTTAAACCGTCCAAACTTTCTTAAATGGAAAACTAGTTTATAGACGTCAAAATTTAAAAATCATAAATTTGAACCATCCAAACTATCTCAAATGAAAAGTTGACAAAAACAACAATTGTAGATCTTGATGAGTTGAACAAACTTGGTATTCAAAACTTTTCAATTTGAAGTCATTAGAGTTCATAATACTAGAGTCAAAGTGTTGTTTTTTCATTTGACCAAATTTGACTTGGTCAAACTTGCTCAAATGAGACACTAAATGACCTCAGATGAAAAAATTCTGAATACCAAGTTTGATCATCTCAGCAAGATATACAATTGTTACATAGCTCATTTTCCCTTTTGAGAAAGTTTTATCAAACACTAGTCACAAATTCTTGAATCTCATATAGACTTTCTGAAACTATGTCACACACTTGTGAAATTTGAACTATATTTTGTTCAAACTTTCTCAAATGAAAAAATGACCTATATAAGGATTGTAGATCTTGATGAGATGAATAAACTTGGTATTCAAAACTTTTCAATTTGAGACAATCTAGGGTTCCGAAAACTAGTTTGTAAACGTCGAAATTTAAAAATCATAAATTTGAACCATCCAAACTATCTCAAATGGAAAGTTGACCAAAACAACAATTGTAGATCTTGATGAGTTGAACAAACTTGGTATTCAAAACTTTTCAATTTGAAGTCATTTAGAGTTCATAATACTAGAGTCAAAGTATTGTTTTTTTATTTGACCAAATTTGACTTGGTCAAACTTGCTCAAATGAGACACTAAATGACCTCAGATGAAAAAACTCTAAATACCAAGTTTGATCATCTCAGCAAGATATACAATTGTTAAATAGCTCATCTTCCTATTTGAGAAAGTTTTATCAAACACTAGTCACAAATTCTTAAATCTCATAAAGACTTTCTGAAACTATGTCACATACTTGTGAAATTTGAACTACATTTTGTTCAAACTTTCTCAAATGAAAAAATAGCCTATATAAGGATTGTAGATCTTGATGAGCTGAACAAACTTGGTATTCAAAACTTTTCAATTTGAGACAATCTATGGTTCCGAAAACTAGTTTGTAAGCATCGAAATTTAAAAATCACAAATTTGAACCGTCCAAACTATCTCAAATGGAAAGTTGACCAAAACAAGAATTGTAGATCTTGATGAGTTGAACAAACTTGGTATTCAAAACTTTTCAATTTGAAATCATTTAGAGTTCATAATACTAGAGTCAAAGTGTTATTTTTTCATTTGACCAAATTTGACTTGGTCAAACTTGCTCAAATGAGACACTAAATGACCTCAGATGAAAAAACTCTGAATACCAAGTTTGATCATCTCAGCAAGATCTACAATTGTTACATAGCTCATTTTCCCATTTGAAAAAGTTTTATTAAACACTAGTCACAAATTCTTGAATCTCATATAGACTTTCTAAAACTATGTCACACACTTGTGAAATTTGCACTACATTTTGTTCAAACTTTCTCAAATGAAAAAATGGCCTATATAAGGATTGTAGATCTTGAATCCATGACCATGACTCCATGAGACCCATGAAGCCATGAGCTTGGCTATTTCTACTCATGCCGCGAAGATTGGTGCTTGTATGATGTTTGATGTATGATGTATCTGTATCTTTATCTTATTTGTTGCTTTACTCTTTAGTCTTTCGGCTTAATCTAGATGGATTATGGACTCATAGAGTGGTGTAATGGTTTGCGCACGTATGATATATATATATGCTGCTTTTACTCAATATCCGAATAGATATTTGTATCCGACCTTCTCCGAATCCGACTCATACCGTATTCGATACTCATTATTCGTATCCGTAACCGAGTCAATCCGTATTCGTATATGTATCCGAACGCTATCCGTGTCCGAATCCGAATCCGAACAGAAATATGAAAACAAATATAATATGAGTGATATCCGTTCGTATCCGATCCGTTTTCATCCCTACTCATCACTCTCAAATGGATCCATATATGGCCACACGACGCCATCATATCAATATATCATGTATATCAAATGTACAGTAATGTGGAAAGGCTAAATTAAGCACCCCGATGGCTTGACGCGGGTGCTCCTCGTCGTCGTCCTCGGTACACAAGCGGGGGCCGACACACACAGGAAGGAAATAGGTGTTGGGTACAGTACAGACGATGCACACTTTTGTTGCTATACGCGCCTAGTACCTCTTGATTTGACAACACACCACACCAAGCGTACGTATGTATGAACATATATATATATATATACTTCGCTGCACCGGGAAAATAAGCCGAAACACTGTTTCAACTAATTTGTTGTGAGAGAAAAATACTATTTTAGTTAAATAAGCTGAAAAATACAGATTATAAGAGAAGCGAACGGGATATTCTTGACTGGACCGTGGGAATTTAGAAAGACAATATGATGAAGCCATTTGTGCAATAATATATATACATATACAAGCCACCATTTGTCCATATATATATATATATATCCTTGCCTTTCTTCAACACTACTTACAAGTGACTACAGGCACATGGTTATAGCTGTTGCATATAGACCTGCTGCCATGCTCCCTGCAAAGCTTCGCTCCGGCAGCTGCTAGCTAGCTGCTTCGAACGAATGCCTGCACTGTACTCCTATACAATGGGCACAACAGCTACTCCCGTCGCCGGAACTTTCGTCCTCATCAGGGTCAAGCGAAGCATGCTGCCGCTCGTCCTCGTCACCCTCACCAGCGTCCTGCTGGTCGGCCCCGCATCCGACCACGGAGGAGTCTTCGCCAGCCCGCCGCCGGACCCCATACAGTGCTCGTCGGGCGGCGGCGGCGGCACGGCCGGCGCCGACTGCACCGTGTCGAGCGCCTACGGCGTGTTCCCGGACCGCTCGACGTGCCACGCGGCCGCCGCGGCATTCCCAACCTCTGAAGACGAGCTGGTGCGCGCCGTGGCGCGCGGCGCCGCGTCCGGGACCAAGATGAAGGCGGCCACCCGCTACTCCCACAGCATCCCGCAGCTGGCGTGCCCCGGGAGCGGGAGCGGCGGCCGCGCCGGGGAGGCCGAGGGCGGGCTCGTCATCAGCACCAGGCGCCTCGACCGCGTCGTGTCCGTCGACGCCTCGACGGGCTACATGACGGTGGAGAGCGGCGTCACGCTGCGCGACCTCGTCGCGGAGGCGGCCAAGGCCGGGCTCGCGCTGCCCTACGCGCCCTACTGGTGGGGGCTCACCGTCGGCGGCATGCTCGGCACGGGCGCGCACGGCAGCTCGCTCTGGGGCAACGGCAGCGCCGTGCACGAGTATGTCGTCGGGATGCGCATCGTCACGCCGGCCCCCGCCGCCGAGGGGTACGCCAAGGTGCGCGTGCTCACCGCCGGCGATCCGGAGCTGGACGCCGCCAAGGTCTCTCTCGGCGTCCTCGGCGTCATCTCTCAGGTAAGGTCGTATATGTGGCCCTCTACATCAGCTAAATTTGTATTGGATTTCTCATCTCATTGCTTCGTTACTTGGCAAGCGTGTTTGACTGTTTGTACTGCAATTTCTTTTCTCTCAGATTTCAAAAAAAAAGTATTCCAAGTCTTATATATACAACAGTGTTTCTAACTTTTTGTTTTTCTTTATTAATAAGCCGGCATAAGCTACTTTTTTTATCCACTCAATCAACCCTTGAGTTCTACAGTGCTAGAAGTGACTTTTTTTTTTTTTAGAGATGACATCTATATACGGCTACTTGCAATAATAGGTGTTATCTTTGGCATTAGTTAGGTGCTCTATCTACATGACATTTTTGCTGACTTGGGTAGAAGCAATAATACTTATCTTCATGGAGATACAGTTTGATATAAAAAAAACTCCCAATTTTTAGAATAGAACTATACACTTGTTTTAGGCCCATTATCATAGAGATAAATTAATCGATCATACAACAATTAATAATTGGATGAAATATCACCGTGCTAGTATACATTTTAAGGGCTGTACCATTATTCTCTCCTCATTTGACATAGCATGTTGAAAGAGCATGACATGAAACAATGGGTTAGAAATATATAGCCTAACCAAAGTACCAAACTCTTACCTTTAAATGAATTGGCATAGTAGTCCCCGTGCTCTGGTTCATTAAAAACAAACTGTACATGACTTGGAATTAAGGAGACAAATAGGTAAAATTGTTTTTTAAGCAAATCTGTTTCGTAAAAGCAAGATCCATAATGTTTGAGAGCTTTGAGCATATGCCTACTTGCACACTCAAAAGCTGTGCGTACTACAACATTTATTGGTGGACTGCAACATTTCGATGATTCTTGGAGTATAAAACATGCATGCATATATGACACATCAAGTGCAACTTTTTTTTTTTTGAAGATAACATCTAGTACAAATCAAGACACCCTGTGTTTTGGCTTTTTCGGAAAGGACATTCCTTAGGAGGGATCACTTTACAGTTTAGAACATCAGAACATGCTATTCTTCTTTTCTTCACATGCCGGCATGTGCGGCCCTACTTTTTTTTTAGGGGGGGCCTACTTTCTTTTTACGTATATAGAGGAGTATTTTCTTTAAGTATTATGGTTTTGGAATTTATAGTTGGCTCCATGGTACTTCCTATATGTATTTATTTATTATTATGGGCCAAAGACATTTGACGGGCCTTTTTGATTCATGACACTTTAGATTACTATATATAGGCAGATGCGTTTAGGTTCGTCGTTTGAGGTAAACTAGCTATATCCAAACTCACTTATTTAGTATACATATAAATGTAGGGTTATTTTATCAAAAAAATGTAGGGTTATTACTAAAACGAAGATTGATGATTCTTATTCTCAGTTCTCCAAAGGTGATTCGAATATTCGATTGAGCTAGGACGCGACATTCTTTTTCACCGGTGTAGTGACACAAAACAACGCGCGTCTTTTCTGCACCGGTAGATTTTTACATGTGCCAGAAAACGAATAATTAGTTCCTACACATTTTCTTGTTCTCTGTTACCTCTCTTCATCAGCGCCTCTATCGGTAGATTAGTGGGTTCTATAGGTTATTTTCATAATAGCAGAGATATTTAGTTTATTACCTATAGACATAGGGAGTTGTTTTAGACTATTTTCAGCAATGACAAAATTGGCTATTTTTTAAGAAAACTAGATAGATGTAACAAATTGTAATTAAAGTTTTACTAGCAAACGTGCCCGTGCGTTGCAACCGAACATACAACCTATTGCGTGTCACCTAGACAATTTGTTCTTGGAGATTTATTCAACAATCGTGACATCTGTTCCAATATGTGTACTAAAATCAGGCTCCGTAGTGTCGTTGGATGCGCCATGGAATCAGACTCCGTATCGATGCTAGATGCATGTTGTTCTAACTTGTATAAGGACGAGCGGTCACAAATGGGATAGGGAGATGCATGAGGACATTTATTTTTTAAAAGAACCAATAGGTTAACTGCTGGTCTATGTATTGATTGAGAAGAGCATGAGGACATTATGAAGAGTAAAAAAAAAACGGCCAGAAGAATACCCTTTTAACTTCAATACTAGTTATGTAGATTAAAATGATAGTCGACTTCTTATGTTGTTTCTAAACAATCAAATGGTTCATCTTCTTTTTCAAGTGTTACCTCTTGAGGCTCAACATGATGGCCCCAAAAGAAATCCCTCTATTTGTAGTAATAAGATGGCCAGACACTTGATTGAACAACAAAGCTTTGTTGAAGTATCAGTTAACTACCTATATTTTCTATCACTTTAAACTTGTAGGTTGAATTACTTGGTGCATATAGGTCAATAATATGGTAAGGTTTAAGGTCTCAAGTTCGAGTTCGAATTCGAATTGCGTAATTTAGTAAAACATATAATTGTTTCCTGCTCCTATTGCACGTGAGGAATGTTGAAGTACAAGTGAACTGTCCATATTTCTTATCATACAACTCAATGCACAACTATGTGGGTTTTGCTTGAATTATTTCCTCTTTTGGCAATAAAGCAAATTATCCATGCATTTCTCCCCTTTTGAATTCAGTGGCCAATCAATGCGTTTGACTTGTGATGCTTATACACCAATTTAGTTAGACGGATAAAAGACAGGGGCCTGTTTAGTTCCCCTCCAAAACGCCAAATTTTTCAAGATTTTCCGTTACATCGAATCTTTAGACGCATACATGAAGCATTAAATATAAATAAAAAATAAAACTAATTACACAGTTTAGACGAAATCCACGAGACGAATCTTTTAAGCCTAATTAGACTATGATTGGACACTAATTGCCAAATAACAACGAAAAGCTACAGTTGCATTTTGCCAAAATTTTCGGATCTAAACTGGGCCCAGGTTGATCGGGTGTACAAGTCGAAAATGATCTAATAAAGGATATAATATATTAATATCCCTTCATATTCTTGATGAGAGACGTTTTATTTGGCTGACTTTGAATTCATCAAAATTCCAAGATCCCGTTTTTAATTTAGCATCAAAAAAGAAACACTGGATCGTCCAATTTAGCAATTTGATAAATATTGAAGCCTTCCCAGTCGGGATAAGTTTGATTGGGAGCTAAAATTATGCATATACTCCCAATGCAAGGTGACGCTGGCGCTGCAACCTCTGTTCAAGCGTTCGGTGACGTTCACGGAGCGGGACGACGACGACCTGGCGGAGCAGGTGGCCAAATTCGGATACCAGCACGAGTTCGCCGACATCTCGTGGTTCCCGGGCCACGGCCGGGCGGTTTACCGCATCGACGACCGCCTGCCGCTGACCGCGCCCGGCGACGGCGCCATGGACTTCATCGGCTTCCGCGCCACCCTGACGCTGGTGATCCAGGCCAACCGGCTCGCCGAGGACCTCTTCGAGCGCGCCGGCAACGGCAGCGGCAAGTGCCTGACGTCGCGGGTGACCCACGCGGCGCTGTCGGTGGCCGGGTACGGGCTGCAGCGGCGGAGGGGCGGGCTGTTCACGGGGTACCCCGTGGTGGGGCCGCAGCACCGGATGCAGGCCTCCGGCGGGTGCGTGACGGGGCCCGAGGACGCGCTGCTGACGGCGTGCCCCTGGGACCCGCGCGTGCGGGGCGGCACCTTCTTCCACCAGACCACCTTCAGCCTGCCCCTGCGCCGCGCCGCGGCGTTCGTCGCCGAGGTGCAGCGGCTGCGGGACCTGGACCCCAGGGCGCTGTGCGGCGTGGAGCTGTACGACGGCATCCTCATGCGGTACGTGAAGGCGTCCACGGCGCACCTGGGCAAGCCGACCCCGCGCGGGGAGCCGTCGGGGGACATGGTGGACTTCGACTTCACCTACTACCGCAGCCGCGACCCCGCGCGGGCACGCCTGTTCGAGGACGTCCTGGAGGAGATCGAGCAGATGGGCATCTTCAAGTACGGCGGCCTGCCGCACTGGGGCAAGAACCGCAACCTCGCCTTTGTCGGCGCCGCGCGCAAGTACCCGGGCCTGCCTCGCTTCCTGCGCGTCAAGCACGCCTACGACCCCAACAGACTCTTCTCCAGCGACTGGAGCGACATGATGCTCGGCATCGGCGGGAGGTCGCCGACGACGGACGCGCCCGGATGCGCGCTCGAAGGGATGTGCGTGTGCTCGCGGGACGAGCACTGCGCGCCGGAGCAGGGCTACGTCTGCCGCCCCGGCAAGGTGTACAAGGACGCCAGAGTCTGCACCAGGGTGTCGTCGTAGAATACTAGAATTGATTGGCCACGTTTGGATTTTATTTATTTTTTTACTAGAAATACCGATATGTTTAGTTTATTAGGCACATTCGAAAACTCATTGAGTTCTCGCAGGAATTTGGTTGCTTCAACGTTCTCCAAGATTCCCAGCAGAATTTATTTTGCTGCTGTGGAGTTAAGCAATGGTTCGGCTTTATAGCTCACATATTGCTTTTAAATCACTCAAATTACTACCTTTGTTACTAAATAAATACGGATCTGTTTGGTTCTCCATCTATTCCTAGCCTGGTCAGCTTTCTAAGCCAGGGCAGGGCATCTGAAGCCTGGCTAGTGCTACGCAAGGTCCGCTTGTTTGGTTGCTATGCTTAGGTAAGCCTGGCTTAGATAGAGCAGTGTTTGGTTGCAAGAATTGTTTGGGTGCACTCACCTTTCTTTACAAATGTGAGCTTACCTTCACCTGCTATCCTTTAAGCATTTCGTCGAACAGGTGGAAGACGAGCACAGCAACGAGTTCTCCCCCATGGCAGGCGATGAGGATGGGGCTTCTTCAATCCTGAACTCATTCCCCAGATTGCAATCGCTCCATCCTGAACTCGTTCCCCAGATTGCAATTGTGGCTGCCGGATGCAATCGCTCCATGTTTGGGACCCATGGTTGGGAGCCAACGCAGCAGCAACAACCTGCGGTGGGGAACGGAACGACGGTGGCAGGGAGCAGAACCCCTTTGCGGGACGCGCCGCCGCGAGGTCACCCATGGCAGGGATTGACCTCGTTGGAGCTCGCGTGGACCTTGTCGGAGCTCGTGTGCTCCCTGCGCTCAGCTCCCTGGTCGCCATGTATTCGACCGTGGTGGCCGCGCACGCATACGCATGCCACCACCGCATGCCAGCAGCATCGCCAACACCGCACGCACCGTTAACACCCCACGCACCGCGTTGCGGCCTCCTCCTCCTCCTCCGACGCCGCCACCACCGCACGCACCGCCGTCCGGCCCCGCGCGAGCCCACAGGAGATCTTGCCGGCGGAGTTCGTCGGAGTTCGCATGTGGGCTGAGTGGTGGCCGACGGGAGCTCGTCCGGATGTCGCCGCCGGAGTTCTGGAAGGAGCTTGGTGGCCGACGGAGCTCACCGGATGTGGCGGCGGGGATCTCAAGGAGTCGTCGTCCCCTCCGCTCACCGGGGATCCATCTCATTGTGGCGTGGATGGCGTTGCAGCGCGTGGATGAGCGGCAAGTAGCGTGGAGGAGCCGGGAGCGAGGAGGAGCGGCAGCGACCGGGAGGTGAGTAGGTGACGAGATGCGAGATGGGGGGCTTAGCCAAGCTTGGCCAAGAAAAAATAGATACTCGTCTCATTTTCCTAGCTTAGTTGAACATGACTTCGGGCTGTTTACGGACAACCAAATAGCTGAAAGTTGGCTAGACCTATATTTCTATAGCTGTCTTAAGTTAAACTATTTAAACTTTAATTAATTTTTAGAAAAAGTCAAAATTTACGATATCAAATTAGTATATTTAGATATATCATAGAATATATTTTTATAATATGTTCGTTTTATGTCATAGATGTTGTTACTTTTTTCTATAAAGTTAGTCAAATTTAAGATAGTATGACTTGCACGGGTTTTGAGGAATTGATTTATTTGGGGACGGAGGAAGTACAATGAAGCATGCAAATTTAATTTTTTTCTAAATATCATACTCACAAAGATGTGTACATATATGTATACATCACACCACTCAAAATCACGATGGTGGTGTTTGAAGTGAGATCTAGAAAGTGCCAGCAATGTAACCTCGTTGGAGTTTAAAGTGAGGTCTAGAAAGTGCCAACAATGGTAACCTCAATAGAAGATTCCAAATGAACTTTAGAAAACCAAGGGGATGTGGTGACATTTGCTCTGCTTCAACCTCCTCTTATGCTTAAGCTATTGAATTTTCTTTTTCAAATAATTATTTTATAAAAAACATATTGCTAACAACCTAACATTTATACTATTAATATATATATGTCATAAAGTTTGAGTCTAAGTGTACAATTTTATATATAGTGATGAAGTGCTCCACACCATGAAGTGCTCCACACCAAGTCAGAGGATCCTCGACATTCTAGTGAGACGCTTTAACGACCGAATGGCCCAATAGTAGAGGGGGTTGATTTTGTCTCTAAAAAATTTAAAGCATCAAACCTTAGACTATGCAAATTCTAAACCCAGAAGTTCCATTGCTCCTAAGTTCTTGTACAAAACATACTAGATAGTTATTAGGGCCAACAAGCTAATCATATCCTTAACAAAGATTCATACTAAGATTAAGATCCTTAAAAACAAGAATGAAACATATCCTAAGAACACACTAGCATGGATCCTAGTTGTCACTCAACAAGACTTGCAATCAAAGAAAGTAAAGCAAGTATGAAAGAGCAAGGCAAAGAGCCAACCAAATTTTTTCTTGTGGTCTCGGGTTGTTGTGACAACCCGGCCCCCTAATCCATGTTGAAGCACCTAAGTCACAAAGACTAGGTTAACTCTGCTCCACTAGTGAATACCCATTCACCACTCTGACATGGTGGGATTCAAAACCATGTACAAGCTTCTTGGAGCCTCCTGACAATAGCTCCAGCAAGAAGATCCCCAGGTCCTTCATCGGGCCTTCTAGGTGCTAGAAAACTTCACATCAAGAAAACCTAGCAAGAACACTGATAGCACTACAGACTAACACTCGAATCTCACTTCCTGGCTTAGGTGGTTCTCGAAATGTTTCACCATCCTCTATAAGTGTTGGGTACAATGGGGTAAAAAACAGCTCCGAATGAGCCAGGGGTAGTACTTATGGAGGGTGAATAGTTGCTAGCCATTGGAAAAGGCTGGTAGACGCACTGATCACTAGATGACCTGACTCAAAAAGGCCTCATCCGGATCATACGGTGTCATTGTTGTGAACGATTCCTTCAACGACTAGCTGGGAATATTCTACAATATTATCTGTCACCAGTCATCAGACAGTCCCATTGGATCATACGGTGTACCACAAAGACTTGGCTAACTGGCCCACCGGATGATCCCGTCGGGGTCATTAAGTCCTCCGCTGGATCATACGGTGCACCATAGTAAGTTGGCCAACTTGTCCAAAGTCCAGATTGTATTCGTCGGATGATCCATCGAAGTCACAAAGTCCTCCACCGAATCATACGCCATGCACTGCATTGTTGGGTTAAGTCATTGAGGAGCATCAATTGACGATCTGTATGGGTCAACCCTATCATCCGGTGCAAGCTACGTGTCACACCCAATTTTAAGGATAAAATTGAATGCACTAAACTCATGTGTGCCCAGGGAATAAGTCACACACATAAGTTGACAAATTATAAAAAGTATCATCACGGTGTATCTTACATAACGAATAATAGCATCACATTGACTTACATAACACAATGAAGATAAAAGATAACTCTCTCGTGGAACTCCATCATAGGACGGTCGATTTGGTTGACCACAAGCCTAATAATCCTCAGGAAACTCCTTATATCCGTTGTCATCTGTTACCCATCCGGGATTTTTATCCAAATATAGAAAGTAAACAAGCGTAAGTACGTCCCGTACTCAACAAGATAACATGGGGTTATGAAGCTCAAAAGGTTGACACTTTGTTTTCATCGCAGTTAGCACTTTTAGTAAGTCAAGATTTTATCCTCAACTATTATCAAGTTATGCTTAAGCTCCCATTTAAACCCACGTGATCATATATCTCGATCCAATTGAGTCATGTGACATCATCATAATCATCTCGTATAAACAACATTATAAGTAGCCATCTATTCTATGAGTTTTCCGGGCGCTTCGTGACTGTGAGCACGGGCTGTTATAACAGCTTGTTACCCTCTGCGCAGAGGTGGTGCACATTCACCATGAGTCGTGATCCCCATATGCCCGGGTTAATTACTCCCATGTCACTACCAAGGTGAGCGGGCAGGGTACACTATGAAGCCATTTCATAGGTTTCTCTAACAAGTTAGGGTCGCTAGGTTTCCTTGGCGGCGGATGTAGGAACCCCCTTTCCTATGGCACATATCCATCAGCGGCTATACACATAGGAACAGAGGCAGCCCTATACCCAACGTGGCAAGCCCCTTTTGCGCCATAAAGGTAACCTCTAACAAGCTAGAAAAGGTCCTATTACTGAGCTAAAGTCAGAGCCATATGACCCTCACGGTTGCACTGTCAGTCCCAGCTTTTGCCGATAGATAAGTCCTTATGGAGGGCCGAGAGCAACATGAACAAAGGTCATTTGCACTTTCGCCCTATGAAACAGTTGTTATAAATCATGTTACTCACTTTGTTCCATAGTATCATTCATCGACATGTATATCAAGTTCAGTTAGAGCACTAGCAATCTACCCATATGCATTTAACCCATAGGAGACAAGGAACAGGATAAACAATCACTAGGATGTCCTTACGGGTATCAAAATTAAACACATGCAAATGAGTAATTGATTAAAGTGAAATAGGACATCAAGGAAGGCCCATGCTATACTTGCCTTGGTTCACAAACTCGTGCTGGTCCTGTTGGTTGTCGAAGAGTTCTTGGTCTCCCACGCTTTCCTCACCGTCTAACGCGATCAACACAAAGAACATACAACATTCCAAAAGCATTCATGCAAAGCAAACATTCCTATCATTAGAACAGTACACCAACAGTATTGAAATCAAGATAAAATGTTTGTAAAACTAATCTCACGCCTCGCTACGATCACGTCAACGCGAAGTTCACGAAAAACGGAGCTAAAATGCGAAAGTTATGATTTAAACGGTTTTCCTATAGCCATATATTTAATTAAATCTAATCATGAAATTAAAAAGTTCCAAACTTGACTAACAGTAGCTCAACATGTAGCTTATGAAATTACGACGCTAACGCGATTTGAATGGATCAATTCGAGCTAAAACGATATTTTTATAATCAAAACAGTTCAAATGGCATTTCTAATTACGACAACGTATTTTTGACT